GGCAAGCACTCTACCATTGAACTATAGCCCCAGCCTGCGTTAACTCTTTAATCTTTAAGCCCCCCCCTTTTTTTGCTTTTATATGCATAATGAATTCCCTTCCGGTAGGATTGAAGTCACTTCTCTCCTAACTTCCCAGTATATTCTATCAGATATTTATTTCATAAAAATGTGTTTATTATGATTATGTAATTATCACACACAATAGCATCTTTTTTTATTATCTTGTATTTTAGAAAAATCCTTTTGCTTTTTCCTCATGCTAACATGACAATGTTTTTTTTTTTTTAAAGAGAATTTTTTAATTTTCTTTTTTTGGTTTTCTGTGGACATAACATCTTTTATTTTTGTGTGGTGCTGAGGATCGAACCCAACACTCCGTGCATGCCTGGCGAGCGCGCTACCAATTGAGCCACATCCCCAGCCTCATGACAATGTTTATTATTTGTGAAGCTATTTTAATATTTTTCTGTTGACCTCATAGGCCTACTACTTTTTGCTATATGTTCATATATAAAAAAATCTGAGTTCCATTATTTTTTCCTGTGCACATCCTTCCTGAAATCTCCATCATTCTCTTAATTTGGACCAGTTACTGTCAAGAGTTTCAAACTCTATCACTTTCTCTTGCTTTGTCTTTCCCTCATGTGTACACGCTCTATTTCTCAATGATTTTTCCTGCCTCTGTAGTGATTTTTATTCTTGGTTTATTTTCTCATATCCCTAGAGCACATTCTCTAATAAGTTTTTCAAAAGAGTAAATTAAAACATCTTTGTATATTTAATGACTAAACTTATTTTTATACTGAATACAATTGGGGTGTTAAGGTGTTGTCTCATGTATTTTTTCTTAAATACACCATATCTAGCCCATAAATGATTTACAACAAATATCTGTAGATGCCTAAAGAGAAGTTCATGCTTGTAGAGGTTGTAAAATTCTGGTTTAGCATGGAAAAACCTATAAGACCCACTTGGCATGCATGCAAATTCTCTTTGCATTGGGGTTTTTATTTACCTTTTATTATTTTGGATTAAACAACAAATTTTGCCCCCAAATTTAGAGTTAATGCATCATTGCTGTCTCATCCTTCATTTTTTT